TACCTTAACCCTCCTTCCTCAGATACTGGCTTACCTCCTGGGGCCACTGTGCTGCCCTATGTCGGTTAGTCCCTCCTGTGCCCCCTGGTTGATGCGTGGTCCCTGTGTTCATCCAGAGACAACCCAGTTATACCCTGCCCAGAGGTAGGCTGCAGCCACCTCCAGTCTACTTGCCATGTGTTCCCCTCCCCTGTCCCTGGGGTTTGGTAGTGGGCCTGAGGTGGGTCTCGGTTGTGCAGCATCAGCGCTAGCACCTGTTTAAATTGTCCTTTTCGAGGCTTAGCAGTCCTGCGGGTGGAGGAGGGAGTAATTCTGCCCCCTCCGCCCCAGGTGCTGGCACCATGCGGTTGGGCAGCCTGCCACTATAGGCCAGGGTAAGCCACCATCTTAACTGTGGGCATCTGCATAGGTTATTCCGCCCGCACTCTTTTCCAGTGGCTAAGGTGGATATGTGGCAGGCCAGGGTCCTCCCGAGATCTTGCGCACTCCTCGAGTGGGCAATCACTGATGCGCTGCACCCACCCGCTATCTTGTGAGTGTTTCGCCCTGCTGCCCGCCAACCTCTGTGACAGCTAGGTGCAGGGATTGCAGCTGTAGATTCCATTGTGTTGGGATGACTAAGGTGACCTAGTACAGGTTGAGCTGCTGCCACACAGCCTAGGGAGGCATGGGCACAGAGCGCTCCAGCCCCTGACTTCCTTGCCCACATCTTACTCACTGTCACTCCCTTTTTCAGCCAAGCACGTGCATATTGACGGGTGCCAGTCCGGCCTTGATCCATTTTGCTTCGGGCCATTGTTCTACAGGGGACAGTCTGCAGGTTTCCTGCTGCATTTGTTTGACAGCTGGGGGTTGACAGTGTTGTGCCCACCATTCCGTTCAGGTGGGGGGTTCAGGCCTCCAGGCAGCTAGTGTCGGCTTTCCTGCATCCATGCCGGTGCTCTGCAGTGCTCCCAACTGGCCCTTGGGCTCCCGTGAGTGACTACATTGCTCTCTTGGACTTTGAGAGGTCTGTTGATCTTTGCCTGTTTTTTGGGTGGTTTCTTGGGTCTCCAATACCTCTCAGAGCACATTGCTACATTTGTTGCTGGGCTGGACTCCCCTAGTGCGCTGTTCAGATGGCTGTCCGTTATGTTTTGGTTCGCTCCAGCTGGTAGTCTGGCAGACGCACTGGATGCATCGTAGCGCAGGGGATCGATGCAATCTTCACTTGCTGCGCAGGATAGAAGCCATAGGAATCACGGTAGTGACCCTGGACTGTCTTCACCGCCCATGGTATGCCGCAGTGGTGCGGGTGCTGGCTGTCGCTCCCGGGCAGCTGCTTCATTTGGAAGAACTGTCTGTCCTGGGGGCCAGTCTCCCCCCCGCTTTACTTTACTGTCACTGACCTTGTCGACCTGATCTTAACAACCGCATTCTACTGGACAAGGGGGTTGTCCCACTTGGTGATTACTGCTATGTTAAAGGGTCATGTGCCTACCTCCAGGAATCTTTATCATCACACCTGGACAGCTGGTGTAATTTGCTGCGACACTGGGGCTCCATCCTTGCTCCTCCACGGTGGCTCCAGGTTTGCCCCTTCTCCACCATGGTGTTGATCATCAGTTCTTTGGCCAAACATTCTTTGAGTTGCATTTTTAGCCAGGGGGCTCATCCTGTGGTACCCTGTGCACTCCCTGCTGCCGCTGTGGCAATTGCAATTGGTGCTGTCAGCTCTCAGTAGCCACCTTTCGAGAGCATTCAGGATATTCCTTTTCTTCCGCTTTCACAGGAAATTGCTTTCCTGCTTGCTGTCACCTTGGCCCAGTGGGTCCCGGAGTTTGCGGTTTTGCTTTGTAAGCCACCTTCGCTGATTTTGGACAAGGTGATGCTTCGACACACTCCTTTTATTCTGACAGGGGTGTTGGATTTTCACTTGATTAGGGCCATTGTCCTTCCTTGTCTGTGTCTCGGTCATCACACCTTAAGGAGGTAGCTCTGCATTCCATGTGTACCTTTTGGTGACAGCTGCTTTTGGAGGTCTGATTTTCTTTGTGTTCTCGGACAGAAGGGAAGGCGGCCTCTGCTGCCATCATTTCCCGTTGTATTTGTAGATGATTATGCCAGCGTATGCCATTAAGGGGCGGGAATTTCCCTTCCCCTGGAAGGTGCATTTCCCTTGGCAGATAGTGCCTTCTGGGCATTTTGACTTCAGGCATCTGTTTCTTAAAATTGTTAAGATAATTCCTGGTCAGCTATGCTTGTTTACTAAGTTCTCTATAGTTGAAGTGTTGCCATCTACTGATGCTGGTTTTGGCTGCAAGGTTTTACAGGCGGCTGTTTTTAGGACTGTTGGGCATCTCTTAGTTGGTTTGGTGTTTTGGCTTTTTGCCCCTGGTTTCTTTCCATTAGTTGGTTTTCCCACCCCTCATTGTGGCACTGCTTGGGGACATCCCTGTTTGGTTATAGTTATTCTGAACAGGGTCAGGGGAAACAGTATTTTTTCTTACCATAGAATGAATTTCTCTGAGTTTTCTCTGTTGACACTGCTTGTGACTGACTGGAAGCCTATAGCAGAGAGGGGGTTTTATGCCCAGAGAGGACTGCCTATAGGAGGTGCCGTGGTTTTTTCTGCATAGTGTTCTACTCCTGTAGGTGGGGCTATAAAACCCTGTTTGGTTATGGATATAGAAAAAGCAGATGTGTCCATCAATGAACTCAGAGTGAGGGATTTTACGGTGAATAACAAAAAATCCTGTTGTCCCCTGACCCTGCTCAGATATCAGAGGTGGAACCTCCTTTACTTGAGGATAATATGGTGGTAAATATTGAAGACCATGATTTCATAGCGGAGACCTCAGAGGATTTTCCTTCGCCTGCATTTTATGAAGCTCAAGCTAGTATTTTGTTTAGCAGCATCTGATTCTCCACAGCCAAATACTGTAAGCCCAACTGAGGCTGGTTAAGAGTTAGCTAAGCGGCTGGCTAAGTCAAACAGGACTTTTCCTATCCATGCACAGCTTCATTGTGCACTTTTTGAGGACTAGCCCAATCCATACCTAAAGGGTATTCACTCCTAATAGTATTCACTAGGAGTATGTTATGCAGAGTTCACAGGTCAGAATTAAGGTTGGACATACATTATTAAACAATTTTTTTTGTACAATTTTCCTTTAGATTTACCAAAGCCATATAATATTAGGTGAAACAAACTCTTTCAGTTTGTATGCAATCAGGCAGGCCCTTGCACTACATAGTTGAAGGTAAATCTAAAGAAAATGAAAAAAGAAAAAGTGGTTAATAATTATGAAACCACTCCCATTACATTCACTCTGCACATGCACACAGACAAACCACTCTCTCTTTAGAATAACAAAAACTAGGAATTTGCAACAAAGTTTGTTAAAATCCCTGCAATGTGCATCACGCAGAGGGGAATGTTTTTTTCTCAACAAAAGTGGAGTTGCTCTTTAAAACTTCTTTTGTAAGCAAACACAAACAACAGGCTTGGTCTTCTGCTTCAACTCAAGCAAAATGGGTGCAGCTTCTTATCAGTGCAGTACACAGTCCTAACAGAAGTATGGCCAGCACAGTGGCTAAATGGTTAGCACTTTCGTCTGGCAGAACAAGGGTCATTGGTTCGAATTCCAACCAAGGCACCACCTGCCTGGAGTTTGCATGTTCTCCCTGTGCCTGCGTGGGTTTTCTCCGGGTATTCCGGTTTCCTCTCACACTCCAAAGAGTGTTATCTGGGAGGTTAATTGGTTCCTGTCTAAATTGGCCCTAGTATGTATGAATGTGAGTTAGGGACCTTATATTGTATGCCCCTTGAGGGTTAGAGATTGATGTGAATGGACTATATATATATGTAAAGCACTGCGTAAATTGACGGCGCTATACAAGTACCTGAAATAAATAAATAAATGTGCTCAATTTCCGCACATATTCAAAATGCAAAAAGGCAAGCTCATCAACCAGCTGAGTTTCAGTCAAGTAAATCTTCCAGTAAAATCCAGGCTACACACAGGTCACCCCTCTGTAGACACTAACAGCCCTCTCTCTGTTTCCCTGATTAATAAGCTGGATTGTATGGGAAGTACCTGTCCTCTACAATTAACCCCCTCTAAACCCTGCCCCAAGGCTGACTCTCCACATATTTCTGAAGTTTTATTAGGTGACTGTTCAGGCCTCTGTTGATGCCAGCTTCAGCCGTAAGGTGCTTCAAGCCACTCTTTGAGTTGGCCACTCCTCAGCTGTATTGCTTGGGGATGTCCCATGGTCATGCAGGAAATCCTTCTATTTTCACTGTCCTACAACTTAAAAGGGAATTCCACTTTCATTAAAAAAAAGTAAGTGGTTTTATCGAACCAGACCTATTTAGGAATCAGTCTTGCAAAGACCAAGGGCTCATTCACAAGGGGCAGCCAGGGGGGCAATAAAAGCAGGCAATTGAGCCTCAGTTTCACTGCTAAGACCCTTGACTGCCCACCTAAACCCAGACAAGCAGCTGCTCAGGTCTGTACACAAGTTACAGCCCTGATGTTTTGCATCATGGCCATGACAAAAAATAACACCCCCCCAATCACATTTTCAGATGGGAGACAGTGATTGCCACACACTGAACAACCCTATAATGGAGCAAGCCGCTTTTTCTTCATAACAAAAAAAGTTAGGACTCTGCAAGCATTTGAAAACACAAAACATTCTAGCCAAGTACATAGATGACCCAGAAGGGATTGTTTTTTTTTTTCTGCTCAACAAAGTGGAGTTACTTTCTGTAATATTCTCCTGTCAGCAGCTTCAGGTGTCAGGCTAGTTTTACTAGTTTCTCTCCTATTACGTTTCAAGGTTAGAAATGCTAACCTCAGTACCTCTAGCAACATTTCATTTTAAAATTACATTCTTCCTTCCCATTAAACCAGAGCTGATTATATTTTCAGCCTGAGAACACAGTTGTATACAGTGTGGAGAAGCTGTGTCCTATTGATGTAAACTAGTACACCTTATATTTTTATCTACAGATGTGGCAATAGGACTGCTAACGTCTTGTTTATCTGAAGCCAGTGAATTTCTTTCGAACAATCATATGTTGGTTGGCGAGATTTTTGATCATTTGGCACAGGGTGAAGCATCAAGAGGTACTTTCTTATATTTCTGTATGACTATATAACAACTTGTCTTCTTCAAAACTTACTTTGAACTGTGATTTGTAGGTGATTGGGTCACAGCAGCAAGGCATCTTAAAAAAAGTATCCAGATTGTGACACAGCGTTTTGGAGCCTCCAGTTTAGAAGTTGGACATGAATTGTTTAAGCTGGCACAGATCCTATTTAATGGGTAAGTGTTGTGAGCATTCAATAATTTGCCAGCCATTTTATTTGTTGGGATTACTATGCGTGATTTTCATTTTAGGTGCAGTGTGGCAGATGCATTGAGTACTATTGTGAGAGCTCAGCATATACTTTGTTTGCATTATGGACCCGACCATTGCTTAATCCAAGAGCTGCATGAAATGAAGACGTGTCTGCAGGAGCTCCCTGGAATGGATGCTTCACTGGAGAGAAAATGCTACAGCTAGGGATTAAAACACCAGATTTGAACTGTCTTTAAATTTGAACTGTCATCAAATTTTTAAAGCAATCTTGCTCTAAGCAGGGCCAAACTAATTCTAAAAGCCAGGGGGACATGGCACATAAAAATAAATTCCATTTTTCAATGCCTAAATCAGTTATTCTGAAGACAAACATTCAACAGGCACTTCTGGAAAACACCTAGCTGTGCTTGTGCTTCTAAACCTTGGTAATAATCAGTTTTTTCTTTTAAACTAAATAGTAATTCAAAATTAGAGTGTTGACCATACACAAAAAAAGTCTTCTTAAATATCTTATTTTCACTGGTTGCTATAGGTAATACCACCATTTTCTTGAGCAAGCTTTTATAAATGAAACCCATTATTTCATAACAGATGTGTAGTTAGATATCTGCATCTGTCAGCACTCGGAAACTCCCGCGACACACTGGAAGTTAATGTATCTTTGTGAAACAACTGTTAAGAGAACATTCTTGACTAATTAGACTTGTTATGCCATCCACTAAAGGTGCTATTCCCTGTGCATTAATTATTTTAATAAACTACATAGCTCCAATACTGGGTTATTATTCCATTGATGGAATGAAGCAAGAGAGACATGATTCCTGAGCAATAAGTAAAATGTACTTTATTGCAATGGATTGTTCTGGCATATAGCAGAGAAGAGCTCAGCTGGGACCTCACCACTTTGAAGGAATAGAATTATATAACAGAAAACTGGTTCAGCTAAAGGGAGTACAGAGTTATTATTCTATATTTTTCTCAAAAAAACAAGATACAAGGCAAGTACTCAATTAGATGAGAATTGTTTTCTCCTACATCATTTGAAGGGCACCCAACAAGTTGTGTTTTTCCCCCTATTTTTATTGAAATAAGATTGTCTTTGTGATTTTCTTAGAAGATGTATACAGACTCAGTTAAGGTAAGTAGAAGATACTCTTTTAGAGGAAGCAGAATTCAATTATAGATATGATGGGCTATTTGATAAAGAGACTTATAGACTTATAACCAGAAAGGCCCCAAAAAATGAAGTTGCCTAAAACAGCAAGTGTTTATGAATTCTCAGAACAGGAAGGTTCTGAAGTAGAGTTACAGGTTTAGGTTGTTTTGTTAGTTAATAGTTATTACTTCTTGATAGATTTAATACATATACATGTAACATGCCTTGCACTTAACAAAAAAAAAGCTAACAGGCATTTTCAATAAGGCAAAGAAACTATGCAACGTGCCTTGACCTGTAGCAGCCAAGCGGCAATCATTTTTATTGGCTGTAGTAAATTCTGATTGGATGTTACGGGTTTTTGCACACATTAATTGTTCCTTTCAATGTTTTTTTGAATACACTTTGTATACTTGCTGTTTTCTATTTCATATTATATCAGTCTATACAGTTCCCAACTAGACATCTAATCTATGGAAAACTAGTTTTATACAGTGCATTGAGGGAGAATCTGAGGCTGAACTCATTGTGTTAACCCGGTTCTTCAGGGGGATTCTAGTTTCTGATTAGAAGGCAAGAGTACTCAACCAGTTCATCCTGTGGCTGCCAATAGAATCCATAATTCATTCAATTTATATCATTTGCATAAAATGCAGCAAGATTAGCGTGAAAGTCCTTTAGGATTCATGACTTTTCCAATAAACAGGAGCGCACCGTTATCATCAGCACGAAGTACAAAGATGAATGGGTGATCCAAATGGAACTCTAGAGGGAAGTAATTGATCTGCTTGGGATCCACCTTCGGTGATTCCTCTCTTCCATCTTCATTTAGTTCCATTACAACCTTGTGAACAGCCTGAGTGACCTTCACAGATTTGGAAGAAATTTTACTGAAGTCTGGAGTTAAGAAGAGTGGCTGGAGCTCTAAAGAGAATAAAAATTAATACATTAGACCAAATTTAGACACATGGTGACATTTTCCTGTTTCTTATTATTGTTTGAGTAAAACTTTATACATCACTTCACATTCTGGGTCAGATCAAGCTAACCTGTAATGAGGCCATGATGTACCAAAGCAGAATTTTCCTCCTGCTTAAACATTACATTGCTCATAACAGATCCATATAGGATTTTCTATTATTGCAATGTGGTAAGGAACAGGCTTTGAAGTGCATAGTTTGAGTCATGTTTCATTCATTGTCCTATTGGCAGAAGATGAATTGTGGTTGTTGACTTATTGCACTTTGCTATTGCTTCATTAAAAAAAAAAAAACACATTCAGACAAAAAATATAAATTTACCCATTTATACCAATAAAGTCATTAACTGTAATTTTTTTTATTTAAAACTGTTACATAAAATCTGTGTTCATATTTAGTTGCCACAGGCCAACTGACAGTTAAAATCAGGTTTCAATTGGTTCTGCCATCTTGGTAAACTAAGAGGAGCAGAGGTCAACACAGGAGGGCTTACAGGGGAAAGCGAGGTCAAGCAACTAACGTTGTTATGGACACTAGAGTCCAAAAACAGTGGCATGGTGTCTATAGGGTTGTTCTGTCTATTTTGTGCATCTGTATACTATACCACAGTATGAGTAGGTGGATCATAAATGTTTGCACACTGTATTAGGAATCTTTGCGCGTGGCAAAAAAGTTGCTATATACAGTATGCATCTGCCTACTGTGATTTAGCATTTAGGATAACATTTCCCTTTTAATAAGCCCACATTTGTATATATTTTATGTAGTATATTACAAACAATAAATTGAAATATATGCATACAAGATATATAGTATCTCACAGAAGTGAGCATACCCCTCACATTTTTGTAAATATTTTATTATGTCTTTTCATGTGACAACACTGAAGAAATGACACTTTGCTACAATGTAAAGTAGTGAGTGTACAGCTTGTATAACAGTGTAAATTTGCTGTCCCCTCAAAATAACTCAACACAGAGCCATTGATGTCTACACCGCTGGCAACAAAAGTGAGTACACCCCTAAGTGTAAATGTCCAAATTGGGCCCAAAGTGTCAATATTTTGTGTGGCCACCATTATTTTCTGGCACTGCCTTAACCCTCTTGGGCATGAAGTTCACCAGAGCTTCACAGGTTGCCACTGGAGTCCTCTTCCACTCTTCCATGACGACATCATGGAGCTGGTGGATGTTAGAGATCTTGCACTTCTCCACCTTGCGTTTGAGGATGCCCCACAGATGCTCAATAGGGTTTAGGTCTGGAGACATGCTTGGCCAGTCCATCACCTTTACCCTCAGCTTCTTTAGCAAGGCAGTGGTCGTCTTGGAGGTGTGTTTGGGGTCGTTATCATGTTGGAATACTCATGCAGCCCCAGACCATGACACTCCCACCACCATGCTTGACTGTAGGCAAGACACATTTGTCTTTGTACTCCTCACCTGGTTGCTGCCACACGCTTGAACACAGCATTTGAACCACACCATTTGAACCAAATACATTTATCTTGTTCTCATCAGACCACAGGACATTGTTCCAGTAATCCAAATCCTTAGTCTGCTTGTCTTCAGCAAACTATTTGCGGGCTTTCTTGTGCAACCTCTTTAGAAGAGGCTTCCTTCTGGGATGACAGCCATGCAGACCAATTTGATGCAGTGTGCTGCGTATGGTCTGAGCACTGACAGGCTGACCCCCCACCCCTTCAACCTCTGCAGCAATGCTGGCAGCACTCATACGTCTATTTCCCAAAGACAACCTCTGGATATGATGCTGAGCATGTGCACTCAACTCTTTGGTCGACCATGGCGTGGCCTGTTCTGAGTGGAACCTGTCCTCTTAAATCGCTGTATTGTCTTGGCCACCGTGCTGCAGTTTTGTTTCAGGGTCTTGCCAATCTTCTTATAGACTAGGCCATCTTTGGGTAGAGCAACAATTTTTTTTTCAGATCCTCAGAGAGTTCTTTGTCATGAGGTGCCATGTTGAACTTCCAGTGACCAGTATGAGAGAGTGAAAGCGATAACACCAAATTTAACACACCTGCTACCCATTCACACCTGAGACCTTGTAACACTACCAAATCACATGACACTGGGGAGAGAAAATGGCTAATTAGGCCCAATATGGACATTTTCACTTAGGGGTGTACTCACTTTTGTTGCCAGCGGTTTAGACATTAATGGCTGTGTGTTGAGTTATTTTGAGGAGACCGCAAATTTACACTGTTATACAAGCTGTACACGCACTACTTTACATTGTAGCAAAGTGTCATTTCTTCAGTGTTGTCACATGAAAAGATATAATAAAATATTTACAAAAATGTGAGGGGTGTACTCACTTCTGTGAGATACTGTACATATTTGTGTTTTTATTTGCAATACTACTGCGTGATACTAATGAGCTTTGGAAAGTTGAGGTCTTCAGCATTCTTCAAGCATCCAATTTTGTTTTTTGCATTATGTGTAGAAAAATTGTTATGGGGAATTTAGTTGCAAATCAGACATACAAGTTACACATTGCTTAGACCCTGAGCAGCTGCTCGTGCCCCCTCTCCAGCCTGGCATTACAGTGAGTGCTGGACTGTGAGTGACTGACAGTCACCGATGTCTGCTCCAGGAAAACCGTGAACTGAGGGATCAGCAGTCATGTGATTGCTCAGTTCTCCAGCTTAGAGCCGGGGACAGCTGCAGCATCAGACCAATGCTGCAGTATCAGACCAATGCTGCAGCATGGAGGTGAGTATGTATGTTTGTTTTTTAATACGTCCACGCATCTCCTTTAAAAAACATCTTCAGCCTGCATAGGTACTGTATCTATGCAAATACTGACTTTGAAGACCAATATCTGCAGAGGTTAAGGCACCACCACCGACCCCCCACACACACACACACCTAATTGGTTGCTCATTATCTGAATACTGTTACAAGTCAGATGAGAACCTTCTGTATTTCAGCAAGTGCTGTGAGGAGCTAAATACATAATATAAAATGTACCACGTAGTATAGTTTAAAAAGTTTTGTAAGAAACTTTCAAATTTATAAAAAAAAAAAACAACCTACTCATATCTGCAAATGCGCTACCAAGTTCTGCCTCGTAGTCCAGCTTCATTTTTGGTACACTAAGCTTCATGGTGACCGATTGTAACGCCTGGTCTATATCATGGACAAATTCAGATGTTAAACCCTCTTCAATCAGGGTAAGGTTCTGGGTTACCGTAAGAGGCAGGAAGAACATGATGCTGATTCCTCCACTGAGTGGCAGCTGTATAATCTGGGAACAGGAGAAGAGAAATGAAAACTCCACATTACAAGACAATCCTACTTAATGAAATATTGCAACTTTTTTTAAGACATTCTTGTTTTGGAGACACATCTGTGTTTTATTAAATAAATAACATATGACTGTAAAAGTAATAACCTTATTTACTCAGTTTTTGCCTGTTAAAAGCTTAGTACACCTATTAAAAATGGTCTGAGGTACCTGAGACAGTTGTCTGAGAATCTAGCCAGCTGCTTTTCTTTATTGTACCAAAGCTCTGCTGTATATTTATCTGCATTCTCAGCAGCTCAGACACAGTCTATACCAGGGGTGGGCAAACTTTTTGACTTGAGGGCCGCAATGGGTTCATATCTTGGACCCGGGGGCCGGACCAAGAGTAGATGAATGATGTGTATGTGTCATCCATAGTAAGTATAGTAATATTCCCCCATAGTAAGCATAGTAATAAATTCGTCCCCCATATAGTAATTCGTCCCCCATATAGTAATTCGTCCCCCATAGTAATTCATCCCCCATATAGTAATTCATCCCCCCATAGTAATTCATCCCCCCATATAGTAATTCATCCCCCATATAGTAATTCATCCCCCATATAGTAATTCATCCCCCACATAGTAATTCATCCCCCCATATAGTAATTAATCCCCCATATAGTAATTCATCCCCCATATTAATTCATCCCCCATATAGTAATTCATCCCCCATAGTAATTCATCCCCCATATAGTAATTCATCCCCCATATAGTAATTCATCCCCCATATTAATTCATCCCCCATATAGTAATTCATCCCCCATAGTAATTCATCCCCCATATAGTAATTCATCCCCCATAGTAATTCATCCCCCATATAGTAATTCATCCCCCATATAGTAATTCTTCCTTCCCTGGAGAAGGAAAAGACCCCACCAGCAGTTATTGTTTGTGTCACAGAACCAGTACAAAACTGTTTATTTTTTAGTCGAGGCTGTGTATTCCACTTTAGTGTCTCAATTGATAGCTATAGCACTACCTGCATGGGGATGCATAGGACACCTGTGCATCCCCAAGCAGGTATACACAGACCTCACACAGGGCACAGATTCATATTCCCCCATGGGAACAAGGCCTTAAACTTAGGATTCTCCCGTTACTTTACCTACTACAGTGTGTAATCTTGTTCTTCAGAAACCAGAAAGTGCCTGAGTTTTTTCTCTTTCCCTATTCAATACATTTTTTAAATATGTTGGATATTCCTGGACAAGCAATTGCTTGTTTCTAAATGATTCTATACACTTTACCCCTTTCCAGAAAATGATGTCAAGAAATGGTCTACTCCCCCTGAGTTTAACGCTCCAGTGCCTCGTCTTATCAAGGCTCAGGCCATCCCTATCGAGGATGCTCTGTCATTTAAGGACCCTTCTGATAAAAAGCTAGTTCTTTCCTACTATTTAGTTTCATCAATCCTTCAACCTTTGTTAGCTACAGATCTCACTTCCTAGACTTTAGCTACTTGGTCCATATCTCTATGTAGGGATCAGGTGGCTGCTGGCGTTGGTCCTCATTTTATTGACTATGGTGACCAAATACTGTTGCATCACAATTATTGTGTGATGGACTACTTGGTCATCTTCTGTCTCAGGAAACCCTTTCTTTGGTTCAGATTCGCAGAGCAATCTGGCTTAAGAGTAGAGCAACAGTGTAAGACAGCTTGTTAAGGTTACTCTTCATGGGAGACCGTTTGTTTGACTCTTCATTATCATTAAAAGGTCTACAGTGATGAGAGTAATCAATCACCCCACCTATGTACACATATGGATCCACAGAGCAGGTTGACACCTTCCTATCCTACATTAAAACATTGTTTTTGTTCCTCCAAGTACTGTTTTTAGTTTCTGGACTCACAAGTCTTCTTTCACTTTCTTGACTTCTGAGAAGGCAATCCAAGAATCTGCAGCAATATCTGCTTCAGCATGAAGGTCTGCCCCACCAGCTCCATCTCAGGTAGGTGACGTGATGGCCTTTGTGGTGATCTGGGAAGGTTGCTCAGGTAACTCTTCAGTGAGAGAGATAGTCTCTCAAACATAGCCATTTAAAGATTGTTGAACCTGAGTGTTATTGTTCCCTTTCTATAACAGAAGGGTTTTACTCAAACCTAATCAGGTTGGAAGACGTTTAGTCCTACTACCTATACCAGTTGTCAATTCATCTTAGTCCCTGGAGTACTGTTGGGGGAAATGTGAATGTAATCTGCAAACACATTGTATTAGTACTTTACATGCACCATGATGGTATTGGTACCTCAGTCAGTGTGATTGATGTGTAAAGGAGAAAATTACCTGGTTGGCTGGCATACTTGTCGTCTGCTTTGTAATATAGGGTATTTTATAAAATGTCTATAGCATTCCTTTTGACAACTTCTCCAGGATTTGTCCCTGAATTTAATTACAAGCATAAATATCTACTATACACAGAAGGGTATTTATTCCTAATTTTATACATACCTGTTTGCAGTTCCAAAACCCAAAGGAGGCCTTTCTCCCATCAATATATTCATACTCCCACAAATATTTTGGATGGAATCTTTTTGGGCAGTTATTGCCTTCTAGCATTCATCTTCAAAAGGAATGCACATTTAAACATTCCTGCCTTTCTTGGTCACCAGTGTTTTCTTTGATTTGCTGTGGCTGACCACCATTATGAGCTAACAGCTCTTTCTTCTGCCTTTCTTTGGTCCCTAGATTATTCACAAAGCTTGCATCTAGTTCTCGGCCTTCTTCATCTCGAAGGAATTATGATCATTGCAAAGAGATATAGTTATATAATTCTTATGGACTATGCCTCCCAACTGGGGTATACAGTTATATATTTGGACACAGGCACAATTTTATTTGTTTTCAGGTATTTACCAAAACATATTCAAGCTATAGTAGTAGTAGTAGTATAGTATATATATAATGGATTGAAAAAAAGGGGGGCTACTCTTAAGAGCTGTAATTCCTAAATCCTTCCTCCAATTTGGATGTACATACCCTCAAATTAAACCTGAGAGTGTGCACTTTCAGCCCCTATCCATTTTATAAATATCGCTTGAATATATTTTGGTAAATACCTGAAACAAAAACTAAAATTGTGCCTGTGTCCAAATATATATGGACCTAAATGTATATATTAGGATTTAATTTGTGTATGTTGTTCTTTATTGGGAGGTGATGCTGATAATTTTTCCTGCAGCTGCTATGGTTGGAATTTTGTAATAATTGGACAATTATGGTTTTATCAATTAGTAGGTTTTTGTATAGTCTAGGTTTTTCAAAAAAACAATTATTTTCATTCTAACCTTTACATGTGTCAAGTGGTTTACTGGGACTTTCACTTATGTAGGGATACACTATAGAATTGATGCATTGAGGTTGAGCTTAAGTCTGTTTTTTTTTATTAATTCCTTTTTTCATCACAAAGAGACCTTTCAGACCTTAGATTCCACTCTGTTAATCATGCTCTGGATCTGGAAGAACTTTAGATAGATCCTGAACATCAATAAGTCATTTCTGATTTTGCTGAAGTGTTGGAAGTGTTGGATTACTTGGACCTTCACCTGGATACCTTTTACACAAAGTTTCACTACCCCTGGAGAAGCTGACAAACCTGCAGGGCAGGTTTTGCAGTTTCCATCTTGTCATCAGTCTTCCCTGTGGAGCTGCCTATGCTGATATTGATGATATCCACCTTTAAAGCAGATCCATTTTGCCCATTCCTCACAGGGTTTGAAAAGTCCAATCTTTCTCTGGAAAACATGGTTTACATGCTCAAACCAAGATGTCTCTGTTGTGATGCTTTCTTTCCCTTGCATTCTTAAAGTGCAGGTCTTTTCTTCCTTAATATTGCAAGACTGCCTTCTGGAATTGGGTGGCAGGATGTATGGAGTCTGGAGCATCTGTTTGTTCATGTTTGTCTGTTTAGGGTTGGAATCCAAACTTTCAGTCAACATTCTGGAGTTGCAAGCAATATATTGCTGCATTGGATCCCCCTTCTGGTCAGACATCTGGTTCGGGTCCAGTCTGAAAATGCCACAGCTTTGGCTTACATCAGGGGTCACCAGGAGTATGGCGATGGCAATGGGAGTAGAGTCCATTCTGTCCTGGGCAAGCTTCATTTTCCACTGATCTGCATGGTGCACATTCCTCAGTTGGAGAGCTGGCTGCAGATTTCCTAGTGAGATAGTATCTGGACTAAGGGGAATGGTCTCTCCATCTAGAGGTGTTTCAGGATGTGTCTGGCCTTGGGGAACACTAGATGTGGATTTGCTAGCATCTCAGTTAAGCAAGAAGCTGGACAGATTTGTCTCCAGAGCAAGGATCTGAAAGCAGATACTTGGATGCCTTGTGCTGTTGGATCTCTATGCCCTGATATAAGCATTTCCTGTACTACCTTATCTGCTTCCTAGCATTGAAAGTAAGGACATTCCAGTTATTTTCATAACTCTAGATTGACTTTGCACAGAGTGGTACACCTACATTGGACGTCTGTTAGCCAACGCTTCGTAGCCTCTGCCAGATCGACTTTCCCGGACAGCAATCTTCCATCCTGCTTTTGTTCACTGGTTTTGACAGTTGGGTTGTTGAAGCCCAGCTTCCGAGATACACAGCCATTGGGGATTCTATTATCCTGACCATACTTTAAGCTCATAAATCTACTTCTCACAAGATCCATAATCAAATGAAAGCATTTTTTTTGCTGTTCTGAAGCTTTGGGGTTTCCCCATATACCTTTTCAGTGGCTGCATTCTTTCTTTCCTTTAGCTGAGGGGTAGAGCATACTTGGACTTTAGTACTGTCAAGGGTCCGGCATCTGCCCTGTCTTCTTTTTCAATGCCACCTTGCCACTAATTTACAAATTCATATTTAATTTGAATTTAAACATAGTATTGTCAGTGTTACAACACCCCCCCTCCCTTAAACCTGGTTATAAGGCCATTACTTTAAAGCTGTTATCCTGTATGGTAGCGCTCCA